GGAGCCATTAAAAAAAAAAAAAAAAAAAACAGGTGAGAGAGACACTGCAGTGAGACATGCGGGGTCCTCAGCACTTTTGAGAATCCAGCTGAGTTCCCTAATGTTTTGTACCAAGTCAAAAATACAATTCACTGAGGCAGAGAAGTGAGATTAATCCACAAACTGCCAGCTAGGACTATAAATAGTATAGTTATTTACTGCTGCACTCTGCTTTTAAGCACGTTTCCTGAACACTAAAAGTTTTCACAGGATAAAAAGTTGAAAGAAAACACAAGCCAAGAAGGCAGCCTTCCCCTCCCTGCAGTTGTCTGTCTATCAGGCAGGGCTGTGCTTTTGACAAGCAGCGAATTAACTCTAGAGAAAATACAAAGTTTCATATGTGAATTGCTTCCCTTTAAAGACTCAGCAAAAGAAAACGGACCTAATAGTCAATTAAACTGTTTCTGAAGTGTCACATGCACTGCCAAGAGAATAGATCACAGACGTTACATCTTATAAAAATGCTTGTGTTTTATCCCCCTTAAGAACCGTTCTGAAAGGAAACTCCTTCTTTATGAGCAGTGTACGTCTGGGGAAAACCACTGCTTTCATGTGATAAAAATACCGCAAGTACAAAAGAGTCCTGATTTAAAAACACAGTTTAATGTTTATTTGTATTTCACCAAAACTGATCATGCTTTTATTCCTGTAGTCAACATTTTGTCCTGACCTTCGTTCTGGTTTCCTGAAGGATCTCTCTCTCCTGCCAAGAGCTGTAGTTTCCTTTAAAAAATATTTCCTTGTTACAGTGATATTTGGTTATTCCTCATCCCCTCCAACCCCCAGAGAAGGGAAAACACTCCTCAGAGTGTGTGCATGTGCATGGGGGTCAGGAGCAATGGTGGGAAGCACAGAGGAAAAGCTAACAGAGAAAGTTTGCTTTGGATTTTGCCACAGGAGGGAGCCAGGGAGCAGGAAGCCGAGTGAGTGAACAAGAAAGTCTTGTTTTCCACAGCCTAGGTGCCCTCCAGGGAGCATACATGTATCAGTAGGTGTTACTTGTGTGGGATGTGATGCTTATGCTTCTCCCCAAAAAAGAATTAAGTTTTATCTGCAACAGGTGCAAACTGATGTCCATCGCACTGGAAAGAACTGAAGGTTTGGAAACACAGGTATCCATATTGCATGCTATTCGGGGAAAATAAAGACTTCTTGGGAAGGAGTCATGAGGAGGCTGGGACAGGAGAGGCCAAAGAGAAAAGAAGCTGCAGCACGCAACTGCTAGAAGGATGATCCTGCCTTGAGCAGGGGACTGGAGTAGGTGACTTGTGAGGTCCCTGCTAGCCCTACTGTCTTATGATCCTTAGGAGGAGGAGGATCTCCAGCGCACAAGAGGAACAGACTTAAGTCCATATCCACTTTCAACACTGCAGTGGAACAGCTGAGGAAAACACATCTGTAAAGACAACAGCAAGCAGTGCTGGAATGGAGGGGCCAGAAGACTAGAAAGGAGAAAGTGCAGAGACCCAGGGATGGAGGCTGCAAGACCACTGCCACCAAAAAGAAAGAGGTGACTGGTGACGGTCAGTACCTTCCTTCTGCAGGGGATAGAGGCACCAATCTGTTATCCAGATTCAGGGTCCAGGAGGCTTGCTTTTTGCCTGGGACCTGTATTTAGGATGTCATAGAAAGACTGTCAGAGCTCATCCACCTGCCTGTCCATGTAGGCACCAATGATACTGCCTGGACTGCCACTGAGAAGGTAAGAGGAGACTCTGAGGCTATTTACAAAGGAGTTTGGAGCTCTACTGGCGTTCTCATCAGTCCCCCCCAGTGGAAGGTAAGGGTGCAGGCAGGGACCCATCACATCATAGAGATAAATGCATGAGTGAGAAGGTGGCATTGACATAAAGGCTTTGGTTTTTTTTGACAATGGCAACATGTTCTGGGAAGAGGACTGGTATCAAGAGATGGCACCCATCTAACCAGAACTGGAAAGAGCATCTTTGGGCACTATTTGGCCAACCTACTAAGAAGGACTTTAGACTAGGCTCCATGGGGACATGAGGAGCAAAAAACTCCCCAGCAACAAAGCAAACTACCTAGAGGGGAGAGGTTCAAAAAAGAGGCTCAAGTTGGGAAGGGCCAGAAGACCACAGGACAGCAATAAGGGATATATGGGAAATAAGTAGGTCAAAATGCAGAATACTTCCAATGTATGTACAGAAGTATAGGAAACAAGTGAGATAAGATGGAAATCACAGCCTATGAAGAAAACTGATTTGATTGGCAACACTGAGATTTGATAGGACAACTCTGACGACTAATGTCAACATTTAGATGTACGCATAGTTTTGGTGGGACAAGACTTGGAGAAAAGGTGGTGGGCACTGCCATATGGATCATACATTTATTCTTTAGTTCAGGAGGAGGAAGGTAGGAGATCGGGGTGCATTTTTGTGAAGATAAGATGTGAAACATACCATCCCCATCAGGAAGGAGAGGTGGATGAGGCACTCTTCAAAGGAATGACAAAATTATCCAAGAATTCTGAGATGTTACCGATGAGGGACTTCAGTTTTTCATGTATCTGCTGGAATAATAATACAGTCAAACATAAAATGTTGAGTAAGTTCCTGACTTGTATGGAGGACAATTATCTATTCCAGCAAGTTGAGGATACGACTATTGGATCTTGTTCTGACTATCAGGGAAGAACTGATAGAGGATGTGAAGCTGGTGGGAAACTTAGAAGGAAGTGGTCATGATACAGAAGTCATATTCCTGACACAGGGAAAGCATAAGGTCAGCAGAACTGGATTTCAAAAAAGCTGATTTCAACTGAAATACAAGTCAACAAATATCAGAAAATACAAAATGGGTGACCTGGCTGGATGGTAGCACCATGGAGAAGAATCTAGGAGTCTTGGTGGATCACAGCATCTATACAAGCCTGCAATGTGACGCAGCTGCAAAAAAAAGGCAAATGTGGTTTTGGGCTGCATCTGTAAGAGCACTAGGTGTAAGACATTGGAGATGATAGGCCTCACCTAGAGTATCATATGGAGTTCTGTACTCCATTCGAAAAGGTACATGGAGAGTTAGAGAAAGTCCAGAGGTGGGTGACAAAAAAATAGAGGGCTCAGAAGGCAAGGCCTATGAGGTGGAAAGAAATAGGCATGTTCAATTTATAAAAAAGGTGACTGACAAGGGACATGATAGCAGTCTTCAAATATATAAAGGGCTGCTGTACAGAAAAGGGGTAACTCTTTTTCTTTGTTGATTCAGAGAGCAGGATGTGTACCAACAAATTAGTTGCAGCAAAACAGGTTTAGATTGAATATCTAGCAAAACTTTGCTGCTAGAATGGTGAGGCTGTGGCTTAGACAGTTTAGGGAGCTTGTAAAATCTCTTTTGATGGAGGTTTCCAAGAGGTTGGATAAGCACTGATTACAAATGATTCAGGAGTAACTATGCTGCAGCGCTCTGTAAAAACCAAAAATTAAAAGCCCAGGAACATCTCTGCCCCCCTCCAGGATCACTGGGAGATTACAAGAGCTCTAAACCCACAGCAGGGGAATACTGGCAAGAGAAACATCGCTCAGCACCTGGAGAATGAAGCAGAGCTACAGAACCAGATTAATTATGAAAGATGATTAAAGCAGCCAAGATCAACTCACACAGATTTGGAAATGGGATTTCTAGCTGTCCAGTTATGGGGTGTGATGTGTGATCAGGCTTGCTAGTCCCAGGGTGCAAAACAGAATGGAGGGCATTTGTTTTTTCCTGTGCTTCTGAGCCTCTCTGGTTACCACACAGGGCTGGGAAGAAATTTCTCTCTCCTTGCCTGTTGTGACCAGTGTCATTGTCTGTACTCCCCCGTGAATCCTTCCTTTAAAGCCAAGACTGTCCCTCTGCTCAGGGTCAGACCAGAATCTGGGTCTGGAAGGAATTTTACCCCATAGTAGCAGGGTATTGTCCTCTTCCTTGGATCTGTTGAGTGCATTTTAACAACTTTATGGCTGCTCTGCTTGGGGCTTTCTTTGGGCACTCTGTTTTTTGGGCAACAGGCTATGTAGCTGTGCAATAGGGTTGATTCTGTAGTTTTAGAAACAGGATGGCTTAGACTCGGATGATCCAGCTGCAGACACGTGTTTGGATAAGGTAACCTCCCAAAGTCATTTCCAGCCCTACTTATCCATGTTTCTAGGTACTTCAAACTTGGACTCAGGAAATACTGATGCCATGAGAATATCTAATGCAAAAAGCATTCTGCTGCTTCCCAAAAGCATTACATCTGTATGAAATACTTGTGCTTTCACTGGGAAAGTAAAAAGAGCTTTTAATTAGAGTTGTCATATCTTGTGCCATTTTTACCATCCTGCACCTAATGCTCAGTCGCAACTTAAGACCTTCACTAGAGTATCCCGTTCCCAACTGCATTTATGGAATCTATACCAAGCTAAATGGACAAAGTTCATCAAGCCTTATAACTTGTAGAGTAAGGCGAGGTAGTTCATGGCACACCATATCATGAAATGTTAGCATCCAAATCTACAACATACTAAGAACGAAGACTTCTTTTTTTTTTAAATGAGTGATTTCAAGGAACAGAATTTGTATTTTCTTCATATTTAGTAATAATCTTGACAGTGATTTAAAAATAAATATATAATTTTAAACCCAAACTTGCAAGTCTTGCATGTTAGGATACAAAAAAGGAGCAATGTTTGGTTCTTTGCCTTCACTGGTGCTGTTGAAGCTGTAGGTCTCAGCTGGACCCAAATCCATGATGGTGCAATATTATAACTTAATGTAAACCAAAGTGCAAGTCAAACTTCATACAAGAAGTGGTCACAAAAGGTACCAGGAGTTTCAATACATGACTTGATAGCACGTAGTATGCATCCTTACCACCAAGGTGCAAGTAATTCAGCCTTCTGACTGCCACATTTCTGATGACCTGCTCAATTTTAATTACTGGCAGCCCAGTACAATCAGGTTTAAGTTGAAATTGGCCTTCCACCCTATACATTTCAATGCATCAAGGTCTGAAAAAGAAGGTTGCAAACTGTTCCTACAGTCAATGAAGACAGTTAATCAGCACACATGAAAGCCTGAATTCTGTTATTTTCAGTTAAAGTTTTAAAAGCTTACAGAGTTCCCATGGTTCATTTTCAGACTGTTCTTCTACGAGTGTTTTTGTTTTAAATGAACTCAGTTACAGAATTGCGTACAGCAAAGTGAGTGTCCTTGCTTGAAGGCTAACTACCAGTTTTTTTTATTAAAAAAGAAAAAGGGCTAAGTCATGCACAGACAAGACAACAAACCTCTGTTTACAGATATTAACAGGAAACTCTTGTTTCTTGCATTCTGCTGCAAAACCACATAGCTCACATGGCAGTTCAGAGCAGCACTCCTGAACTTCTCAGGTGAGCCACCAGACTTTTCAGAAACAGATGATCATTTCCACATGCAACATGGCAAAAAAGACATGTATGAAGTAGCTGAGCCTAGATTTAGTTCACTGAAGGAATAACATGCTTTAAGAGAACACTCAGCTTGTGGCTCACTTCCTTCACTGTCAGTTTTCTGCAAAAATATGCAGTGTGACCACCACTGATCACGCTACCTTGTTTTGTACATGTTCAGAGCCCACCACCATTGCATTAGTTAGCCATATAGTTCTAGCACAGGATATTCTTCTCTTGGATATACCTTTCAGCATAAACAGCTGTTTCATGTTCAGGAGACAAAACAGGATGTCTTTTTATTATAAAGCTGAAGCGCACACCCCCTACAATAATTTTTCTTTTTTCCAAATCCCCATTGATTCTTATTTTCTACTGTATCTTCCAATGATCACTCATGTCCTTCCACCTCTACCCCATCAGTGACTGTATTCACCCAAATCCAATGTGACTGAATTTAAGATACCGCCCCCAGAATTGAATATGATACATGAAAGATAAAATGTAGTTATACTTCTTCTGTGTAAAGAATCTAATTAACATTTGGCTCCCCCCACTACTGCAGCTGGGAAAGCAGCAGCAGGAAGGCAGGCAGCCTGAGCCCTGCCCTTCCCTGGGTACCTGTGCCCATGCTCTCAGCCACTGCTTGCACCCTATGCCTAGCTCTGGCAGTGGCTGCTGCTGTGGCCCCAACCTTCCCCAGGCTGTTACCTGGATTTAAGATGAGGCTTCCATTCAACCCCACTACCCACTCCCCTCCCTCAGCATGTTGGAGGGAAAAAAACCTCGTCTCAAATTCAAAGAAATATGGGAGCTATGTAGACTATGGGCAAAGCAGGAAGAGTTGCAAGCATTGTTGGCACTACATTTTAAGCAAAGATAGCCTTTCATGGCACAAAACAATCCTTTCAATCCCCTCTTACATTGTTACATCATGCTTCTCAATGTACTGGGACACAAGTTAAACTCAAAGACAAATAAGTCGAAGTGTATTTTATTGACGAATAGACTCTCCAAATAGTCTATTAAAGAGCAACAGAAAGATTTAAAAAAAAATACAAAAAACTGTTAAAGCTTCTAGCTTGCATTCAGTGTAAAAACTTGGAGGTATAAACAAAAAATTGGAAAATCAGTACAGCAAAGTATTTTTCCAATCCTGCAGTGCAGAAACTCAGTGACATTCATTTTACATTTGCTATAGTCATACTCCTGTTCCAATTCTGTATATAAATCTCTCCTCTATATAAACTTTTCAGATAATTTTCTGTACAAATAAGATGTCAGACATCTGTTTTCCTACATAAATACATAATTTGACTGAAAATATTACAATAGTTTAATAATTTGACTGTCAAAAAAGTACATAGAAAAAAATCTATATAAACAAAATTAAAGTTTCCAATGGCAGTGTTTGTAAAAGAAATCCCATTAATTATAATCTTAGGATAAAGTAACTGTTGCCCATAAAATACATTGCTTGTACTACCATGCAGGATTATTGCATACACAAGTTGCTTGTTTTTCAATTACAGTAATAGAAATGAATCTATCGTTCAAAGGACGAGTGCAGACAGAATTCTAGCAAGTGCTAGCTTTAAAGAAGGCTCATATGCACTATGAAAATAAATGTAGTGCTAGTGTATTTTAAAAAATAAAATATTGCAAGTTTAAATAAGTCTCAATAGAAAACACAGTAAGGCAACCAGGACTTGTAGCTTCAGTTTGGCATCCAGTTGCATTAGTCTAACTTCTCTCACCTTCTCAGCACACTACTCTTGGGTTTGCAAGTTGCAAAAAGAACATTTGTTGTACATACAGAATAATTCAGTGCAAAGTTCAAAACTGCTTCTTAGCAACTTAGTTTAACATTGCTGGATCAGTTCCTTGAGCACCATCGTCTTTGGTGCCAAATTTTTCAGCTCCTCACTTTTCCAGCCAGGCTTCTAATGTGACAGACTAGAAAGAGAACATTCACCAACCCTGTCAAATTAAAGGCATTATGGAATTACTTCATTTTGGGGATATTTCTGAATTTGAAGGGTGCAAAATGGATTTGATATTTCAAAGAGTAAAAACTTGATTTTACAAAGTATAGCTATGTGAATTAAAAACATGCGCTATACACACACAAACAAACACAGTAGATCAAAAGCTTTGACAGACATTTCTTTATGGCTTTTATCACTGAGGTACTGTTACAACAACATCCACCAACCAGATTCTAATACTCAGCCTTTACTTAAAGAAAAAGAAAAAAAAAATCAAATTCATAGTTACTGTGCCACAAATTCATGAAGCAAGTGGCAACAGACTACAAATCCAGCTTTATTGTAAGGATACAAAATTATTTTCCTCTATAAACAAAGGGTCCCAGAGTCTCAGTGCAAGCTACAGAAAAAAAAGGTTCAAGGCAACTGACAAACTGGGATACTAGCATGAAAGCCTATTCCATTTGACAGAAAAGGTTCCTCTGACAAGTTAGAGTCTTTCAATCAGACCGTTACATACGATTAGCAGCAAAATATCTGGGACTTGGTATTCCAAGGCAGCAGGGGTGTATGGCAGGATGGGCATGAACAACAGACTGATGTGTAGAAGAGCCCTTTGCATCTTATCCTTTAGTTAAAAGGACAAGCAGAGGTTAAGATACAGCCAAAATTCACATACAACCGAAATCCTGGTAGGCCAAAGAAGCACTATCCATTTGACATCTTTGTCCCATGCACAATTTCAGCTTGAACTGTAAGCAGTATACAGGATCAAACCCTGGCTACCATAGGCTTTATATTGCCTCAGCTTAAAAAAAGTTTACGCTCATTTATATACAAAGGATTTAAGTGATCATCTTTCCCCAATTTACTTTACTCCTTATTGAGAAAGATTAGGCAGAGATGGTTCAATCCCCTGCTTCCAATAATAGCATTTTGCATCAAGGACGTAAACAGTAGCCTGATACCTTATGACTGCAGTATAGCTGCTTGTGTTTTTCTACATGTATGCTACAGTACCACCATTTCAGAATATGGCAGCATTTCTCCTGAATTTGTAGTAAACTCTGCTTGTAATATTCTGAAATAAGTGTACCAATGTCTGTCCATAGACTACGTAAGAACAGGGGAGCTGTTTCTGTATTAAAGGGCTAGGCTAAAGTTCTAGCATGATGGCTAAAGCTGGCTGCATACTCCTCACATCAGGATATGGTCCAATGTTTATGCCCCCAAATTGGCAAGGTATGACTCAAATTTATGCCTAGATTTTTCTCTCACCAATTTGAACAATCAATCTGCACCACTTAAATCAACAAATTCATCGTCTCTCTTTGCCAAGTCTTCCTCATCTTCCAAGTCTTTCCAAGTGCTCGTAGGTAAAACTGGTTTGAGAGAATGTCTCTGAAGCAAAGCAAATGGAAACAACGATGACAAACGGGCAGAATTTCTCAAAGTTGGGACGGCATCTGCATCTTCAGGGGCAGTCTGGCTATGTTCCTCATCCATTTGCTTCTGCAACTTCTGCACTTCTTCCATCACATCCAAGAACTTAGTTGCAATGGCAACTGTACCACCACCAAGAAGCTGCGCTTCAGGAATCCACCGTAAATATCGCTGGGTCCAGACTTTGATTTCAGGCCCTTCAATGTGAGGCAGCAGAAGCCCATGAAAGTCAACAGGTTTACAGTGCCAACTATCATAAAATTCTCTGAAGTTACTATGTAGCTCCTCTGAAGAGTTTATAAGTTTGCTAATTCTTTTGCCCAGAATGTTTTTAATTAAATGATCCGTTTCCTCCCTGAAAAATCCTCTCTTTGGAGAAGATTTAGTTTGTGTCAGTGGCAAAGAGAGCTGCCGGTGATGCTTTAAGAAAAATCAAAAGAGAACTATTAAAAAGGGCACTAGAACTTTAAAATGTTAGCTTAAATTTGGAATAAAGTGTGTCAAGTTAAACAAGTTTCATTCAAATAATGATCCACTTAAGCTTACAGGAATATAAAACTGAATTGGGTTAAGCCAAGCGTTCTCAAACTTTATGATACTGTGACCCTGAGTGCTGGATGGTGGTGGCAGGGGATGGGGAGCTCACACACAGCAGCCACTGCTGCCATCCACCACTCTGTGCTGCCACCGTATCATGCTACTTCTCCACACCAACACACATACCCACTAGGAAGTTTGTGGCCCCCTTTTAAAAGTTGCTCGTGACCCCCTGTGGGGGGCACAACCCACAGTTTGAGAACATCTGGGTTAAGCTATTCATTTGTCTGCTGTGCATTACTTTGGATGTTAATAACTAAGGCTGCTTGCAGATGTTAAAAAAATGGCACTTTAAACTCCATGCGCTCCTAAGCCCAGCACATGCCCAGAAGAGGCAGCATGTTAGCGGGACCTGGCTCGCTCAATGTCTGTATAGAGCAGACACTTTAATGAATGAGGCTTTTTGGTACTTCTAAGAGCCAACTGGAATCAGCTTTAGATAAAAGCCCCAGAAAACCCTGCTGAAGCGCCCAGTCTATACAGACGCTGCAGAGCTGGGTCAGAGTAATGCACTGCTTATTTTGGTAAAGTGCGCGGGGGGGGGGCGGGTTCTATTTTGCTGGGTTTTTTTAAACATCTAAAGTCTTCTGAAAACAAGGTAATAAGTTATTGCTCTGTACTAGAATAAAACTTCTGCAGATAAGTATTGCTGAGCTTGAAAAAAGTAATGTTTGCCCAGGAGAGAAAGAGACTAGTTTAAAAAGTAAGATATTATTTTTAAAAACACTAATTTCAAAGTAACCTATGCAACTACAGAGCTTTACCATCAGCATTCACGACACATTTACAACAACGCAACATTACAGGATCTGGGCCATGTGCATACTTAACACAGAATCAAAGAGAGTCCCCATTCCAGGAAGCTTACAATTCACTGGAAATCCCTACTTAAAATGGGATACCACACAATGCCCTGGCAGAGCCTTAGTTTGAATATTTTAATCCTCTACAACAAAAAACTTGCCCATCCACAATTATTGATAATTTAAATTGTTTCTATTAGTTATCGAGATCAATCAGATCAGTAATAAATTAAAACAAACTCAAGTGCTTTATGAAAAGCAAATATCTACTGTAAACCAGGTAAGGTATTTGGATAAAATTACTATGCTCATTAGTTGATAAAAGGGTAGTCATACACAGTAGTTGAGACTGGTGTTTCTGTACACATTCATAGCATTAAAACACCAAACTAACAGAACTGCTTCTGGCTACGGCAAGATACAGGTCTCAGAATCCACAGAATTCCAATGCAGGCATTTTTAATTTTGCCAATAACAGCATTAGTTTTGGCTCCAGGTTTCACATACATTTGTCCCAAGCATAAATGAGTTGCACAAAAAAACCTCAAAAACATGTTTGTATAGCTTCAGAATGAGGCTGACCAGACAGCTTACCTTGAATCGTGTCGTTTTCCGTTGACTTTTATCTGGTTTTGGTTTCTCTGCATAAAGAGGGTTGTTCAGCAAAGCCTGTGCTTTGGGTTCAAACTGCACAGACCAATCCCAAACTGTGAGAAGCCTGAAAGGGCTGCTTTGTGCATTGTGGCTTTCTCCAGACTGCCAAAACAAACAGGTCACATAATTAAAGATTAGAACAGAACTCTAACACTCAACATGAGGTTACAGAGCTCTGAATTTCCATTGACAAGGTCCCATGCACTCAGCAGCAAGCTAGACAAAATCTGTAACAAGATCCCTGAATCCTACAGATGGCAAGTTAAAGATAAGACTAAAATGGATGCTTAAGGAAATACAAAGCATAGTAGTCCATGCATCAAAATGTGATGTTTTACTTTACATTGCTCTCCAACTTGTCACACAATGTATATTATCAACATGCTCCCA